GACAGGATTTCTTGAGAGTCCTTGGGGTTTTAGTTCAACTTTAACACAAACCCTATAAAGCATCATTTGAACCTCTTCATTTGGGTTTACTCATATTATTTTACTCACTACAATTTTCAAATTCTGAGGAATAAAGGTATTTGTGATAATAATAGTAATAATAATCGTAGTAAGAATTTTCAGGTATAAATCTCAAAGATTGTAGGATCTATGAAAGGTCCTGAGGTTTCTTGGATTTCGAAGAACTTCTGCAACCTTTAGAGGCTTTGGATCTCTAGATCTTCGAAAATCATCAGTATTGTTGAATCTATTTCCTCTTGAGGTCTGTGTATAGAACATTCATGACAATCCCAATAGAGTTCTTCATCTCGTATTCTTTTTGTACACAAAGTAATTATCCTTTCTGTTCTGGAATTCATAGCAAAACATCTACTGCGTGTCATACTCGTAAATGCATAAGCACCTTAACTGTACGTGGCGGTTAATTCAGTGTCTCTTACTTTGCGACACGATTAGTTGGCCTTTAATGTATGAAAAGTGCACGAAGTATCTAACAAACATTTTTTTCCTCTCGCAGTTGGTGAACTTTCATTACTTCAATTAATTTCAGTGTCTACCCAAGTTTCCTTTCATTAACGTGTCCGCTTGAGTATAGAACTTTCGGATGCGCAACTTTTCCTTGCTTTATTACGTTTTGTTCTTTCATTGTACGAGGATTTCTTTTCCACGAATAATTTTCATCTATTCCGAACATCAATCGCATGCTACCGACAGTCTGTTTTATTATCCACGAATCAAGAAAGAATCGAATAATAAATCACCAGGACCAAAGCTTTTGTTTTCGATGCTTCGCAGACGCTCAAGCGTGATTACGTGACTTTACAATTTCATGAGAAGTCGAGTGCCAGTTTACTTGGAACTGTTACAAACTATTAAGAGAATGTAATTAAGCGGAGAATGTGGATAATGCTATGCATATGCGGGCCGAGGTACTTGAAATATGTACCGCTAGTATTTAACGACTCACGTGTCTTGCTAAAGTATTTTCACACCCAAAAATGTACATTCATATACTTGTTGGGATTAAAAACACAATATAGTCAGTATGTTATTGGACAATAAGATCCGAAAAATCTGTATTAATTAAATTAATTGCTCTCGTACATTCTATTGAATTTACTTTTATTGTGAGAGTTATACATTATCACGATCGCTGCCCGAATTCCAAAATCGAAGTGGTCTTTTTGAAAAGTTTTACGTCGAAATTGAGCAGAATTACTAAGTAATTAATTGTTCGATACCGCACGAACGATGATTCTGCAAAGTTTATAATATGGAGTATATCCATATAGCAGTGCCATTGAATAGGTTACTTCAATGCATTAGTGCACAACGTGCAATCTATCGCAAGGAGTTCCCGGCACACGAACAATGTGCTCATTGATACGGAATAATGTACATTTCGAGTGTAAAACAGAGATACTATAAACTTCAATACAGAATATATTTACCACGAGTCCGCGTTGTTCTAGATCATCCCGTGGAACAAAGAAATTATCGCTTGATTACGATTCCCAGTTCGCTGCAGTTGGACCACCATTCATTCGCAGCCATTATCTATTAACACCTTTCGCGATCGATAACACAGCAATATATCATCACACGAGATAATGTTGGGCGGCTCCGACATAGTATCTAAGCTTCATTCAATACATTGCATTTGGTTTGTTAAATTCAAACGTTTTCTAACGAAATTCGATAATTTCAGAATTTTAGATTTTACAAGTTTGGGTTTACATAATTAAATTTTCTCTTTCTGAATCGATTATTCGTATATTCAACTGAAAGAAAAACTTTCCAGCAACGTTTCCCTTCTCTGTCCTAGTTTCGACCGTTAAGAGGTCCAGAATACCTACCTTCCCAGATAGTTTCTGGTCGATGCTCTAAATGGGTGTCATCGCAGAAAGCCCCCCGAGGAGAGATTACCAAAATTGCCGTCTCGATCAGCGTAATCCAAGTAATTTTCCTTTCAGTGGCCACGACGACGTAGTTCTTTACCTCCGACCTTAGCTCCTTTTCCTCCATAAACGTTCACCAATATGGCCGTCTTCCTGTTCGTTCCTTCGGGTTCCTTCCGTTCATTTTATACTATCAGGCAGAATTCCGTCGAACGTTAATCGCATCGCGAAGTACAGATAGCAAAATTCCCGTTAACAACATTATCGCGTTCGTAAATCCATTCAAGATTAATTTATTGAGTGATTCAGCTGACAGGTGAAGTAAATCCATTTTTATCGATTTTGCGAAAGACGAATCTTGACTTGTTTTCACAGTTATATCGAAAGCGACAAATTCATATTCTATTTATTATCAATTACTGTATCGAGTATGAGATAAACTCATTTTTTAAAATTCATTTTTACGAGCAGTTCTCGTAGTAAGACTCCATTGAGGGTTATTGTACAAACGGAAGATGTTCTTTCTTCTTTCTTCTCGCTGGCCATGTAGTTTTCGTTGCACGTCATCTACGTTATTATTCCGCTATGCCTACTCCGCTATCCTCTCTCTCTTTCCGGCTCGCTCCTTGTATTTTGATATCAGCCAGGTCTGTCTCTTTCCGCGGGTGCTTCGTTAGTTTCACAGGCGTTTGATTACGTGGCGTAGCCGGAAGGCCCAATGTTTAATTTCTTTCTTTCTCTTTGCACGGCCGCGGGTCCCGTCGCGATGAATGGCAGTATAAGAAACAGTAAAGGTACGTTTGCACCAGCAAACACGCGCAAGAACACGCCCACTGACACACATATAGGTATCCGTATATATGTCCATGCTCGCCTGGAACCCAGCGTGTATGTGTCTGCGTTGGTCTTTTGTAATTTCTTTCGCTGGCTTTTTAGTTTTACGGCGTGGTCGGCCGTCTTCTCGTTCCTTTTTTTTCTCCAGCCCCTACGGTAAAATAATGCGTGTGCACCACGGTGTTAATCCCCCGGAGAATCGGTGGATACTGTTGCATTCGAGTGCGTTCAATGCGCGTTAAACTACGGTCATTTTTGGTCCCTCGACACCGAAAATTATCGTCGCGTCCAACAATGGAATTTCGATTGTGGCCCCGTTGAACACTTGAAACTCTCGCCCATGAACGTTCGATGGGTGGGCTTTTAGTCGAAGCGAAATGTAAACTGGGTCACGAATCAGGGAAATACGAACCTTGCGTCGGGGGAACGAAAAATAATATTGGAAAGCGTACGTCGTAGCTCACGATCGTGAAACAATGTATTTTATTAATTTGCAGATTTGATAATCCAAATATTTATGCGGAACGTATCCAGTGTGGTTGTGTAAATTTATTTTAGGTAATATTCGCCAGTGGTACTAACGACATCTAGAGAGAAGCCTGGAAAGGAACATTCGACACGAGGAAGTTGTTAGTACGCTAGCGTTGGAAATAATTTGGGCAGGAAACTTTACCAAAAACATAGAAATGAAATTGAAGTGTTGGTTTCATATAGAAAAATTTATCTGGCCGTGAGTTATTAGAATGTGCTTTCCAAATTCAAGAAAACTAAGACATAAGTATTATTCGTTACCTCGTTATTTGCGAATAGAAACTGTTTAAAAATACACTTTATTTAGTATTCTCAATTGTAAAACAATTGATTTGAAAAGATCTTAAAGAATCGTTATCACTCACCTGGTATAATTCATTCAATTTCATCTTTCACTCAATCTACCAGGATCGTTGACTGTAGAATGACGATAAATCTGAAATTTGTTTACAACTTACTTGTAAAAATGGAACCTACTTTAACGATGATATCTACTTTATCAAAATAAAAATTCTTGACTAGGTAGATACTTCGTTCAAAACATTTGTCTTTTTCCCTCCTTCCAGCCTTTCTTTCGTCTTTAACTATTTCCTTCTTTCGAATTTTACGCAAAAAATGTAGCCTTCTTAATGTCACGATTTTAAAGAGAAACAGACATCTAAGAAAATTGCCACGAGCTGGAGGAAAGCGGAACGAACGTGTTCACGGAAACGTAACGGTTTGCTGGTAAATAAGTAATGTCGCGAAGAAAGTGCACCGATGGAGTTTCATTTCAGTCCTCAGAAAGGAAGAAAAAGCAAGCCGGACAACGCTCGCGGAACCAGTGGCGGTGTGTTGTTCGGAAAGAATACAAATAGTTCTATTATTTCGCGTACAAAAGACCGGGCTCGGTATGAGGTTCGAATGTGGAACGAGACTTATCAAATATAAACGCTTCCGTCTGGCTTCGAGGAGTTCTGGAAAAGTAAGAAATGGGTGAAAGAACCATGTGAAAACTTTATTTTATTCTTTGTTTTTCATGTCGAACAGTAAACATTTTCTATCTTGAAAGTCAGATTTTGCGACAAAGATATTTGAGTAGTTAATAGAAAATAAAAAAACTTAATAAATAAGGATTTGACAGTCACACATTTCGAGAAGAAGGCGTCGCACCTCCAACGTGCGCCTTTTGAATTAAAGTGAGACAAGTCGATAATGGTCAGCCATTTTTACACTATATAAGTTTGAAGTTCAGTTTAATTACTAAGTAGTACTATTAACAACAATATATACCGTAGGGTACAACTCAAGAATCGTCTGTTTATTAAACTTGTGTTCACTCATTTTGATCAGTACATTATCTCTCCTCTACTACAACAAGAATGAATTTCTGCGTTCATTTTTTCATCACAAAATTGCGATGGTTTACTTGAATCTGACGAGTAGTACAATCAGAACCGAATGTGTAGACAGAATTGCATAATAAACAGGTTGATCGAGGAATAAATTATCTGGAACGTTCTTTATCATACAGATTTATTTGCTCATATGGTCACAGGTATATAATAATTGTAATCTAAAACTCTGCGTATAAATATTATCGGCCAACGGTCAGCCGTATTAGGCTGGTAGAATTAGCGTCGTTACTCGGTGCCAGTTTGTAAATTCATAGAATCAGATTGTAACCGGAGTTTATTGTGGTTTTGCGGACAGTAGCGATTGGTACAGCGACATTCGCGGACGATGCGCGCGGTTGATGACGACGGGGACAGGTTTAGTCGGAATATCTACATGCTGGTGCCGAGACCGCATTCCCTGATCGCGTTTTGAATGTGAATATCGAGCAAAAGATTTGCATCGACATCCTTGTGCTTGTAATCGTTGAGAAAGTAAGACCGTCCATCTACGTTTGCTGGGAATTCCTTCGGCAGAAATTCTTTGCTTCGTGGTTCCAGGTCGAATCCTGATATGGGACATTTCAATAAGCTGCTGTAAAGAAAAGTTAGGTATCAACACCGTGAACTTCAATTGTAACGTGTATTAACAATAAATAAGATAATTACGATAACAGGTTGCTGATCAGAATCGTTGGCTTTCTTAGGAATTCGTATTTTATGGAAGATATAGTGAAATTAATTATATACTTACTCGTACGTCGTTGGGCTAACGTGAATACGAAGCGGTTCACTTAAGGATTCGAATTTATTCGCTAAGGTAACATTGTGCCCGAATAAGCAGTACCTAGGCATCTTCTTTCCAACGACGCCTGCCAGGACCATTCCAGTGTGAATACCAATGCGCATCTGATAGAGTGATATACAAGATTTACGAATGCAATAATATACAATTCATATGTCTCTAAGTAGTTAAAAACAAAGTTACTACATTCACTTTAGGTTTTATTAAGGTGTTAGTAGCATTCAACCACAGTATGATATGTATTCGTCGAAGATATCAATTCAGATTGATTTACTCTGAAGACATAGAACGAATTGTTAAGTAATAAATATAATACACATTTTCGTACCCTTATTGGTTTACCCTTGTGAGTTAAGTGATTGGAACATGCTTGTATCATTTTTAGGGCCATCCAAGCTATTTGTTGCGCATGTGTGTAGGTATCACGATGAAGGCCACATGCAACGCAGTAAGCATCTCCGATTGTTTCTACCTGCAATGATCAGTGAATATAAATAACCCACCGAGTAGTATACATATCAGTTTACATCGAGGAAATCGAACTATAAAATTGTTTATCTCGTTTTACACTTTGGAAACTGGTACCTTATATACGTCCAGTTGACCGCAAAACGAGTCAAATTGCTCGTAAAGATTCTGAAGCATGTTGATAACCATCATCGGCGTCGCGGTCGAGCAAATTTCCGTGAAACCGACGATGTCGCTAAAAAGCATGGTCACTTCGGGATACGTTTTCGCCTCGATAGTTTCCCCTGAAAAAGTAAATTGTGTCGAAACATTAAAACTTGCGTTCTCTACAAAGAAACTACTGTAAATCCAGTGAAAAGTGAATAAAGTAAGGGATATAAATTTTATTTATAATGACTCTTACCTAACCATAAGCGTTTCGCTATATCCGGAGGGAATATAAGATGAAGCAGACTAACATTCTTTTCCCTTTCTGCCGATACAGCGAGATTTGCTTCCTCTATAGAGCTTTTTAATTTGTCCATTCGCCTTCTCAAGCCATCCTGCGTCAGAAAATATTCTTATCAGCATTATCATAGACATTTCCCGTAAAAATTTCGTAAAATTATAACGGCAATGACTTTTATTTCATTTTTATGGAATACGTATTAAACGTATCGTTCGAAATGCGGTTTGATTTGAACCGCCATTTCACCATTCGCGCCATCTAGAACGTGGCTTCTGTAAGCTGGCGCCACCTACGCGGTGAAACTACCTTCGGTAATGCAGCATTCTTTAAAAATGTATAATAGTTTCAAAATATCAATGAATATTTGAATACATTCATGTGGTAATGCATTTTTTATCAGAAAACGAGACCGTGTGCAGAAAATTTTTTTCATTTCGTTGCTATTCATAGAGTACTCGTATATCGTTTAATCGAGTACACGGTCGCATGAATTTTATATTATAAACATAAATTTAACGATGTTACGATAGGATGCAAATATACAATTTTACCTGTGCTCTGGCTTGTTCTCCCACCAAAATCACATCCCTCGTTGCGTCGTGTAATGGAATATCGGATATAAAAAGTCCTCGACCAGTCAGCCCTTCCAGACCATTCAGGAATGGCGAGCTCACGAATAGGATAGAATCCGATTCGGGACAATGGACCATCTGACCTTTCATCTCTAAGCCCTGGAATGATTGAAATCCCATGAGTATAAAAATTCAGGAATCCGATATCCAATAGAAATAATGTATATTGTATCAGAGCGAGGATCTAGTACAAGAGTTTTCAAAGATACATCTCTCAAAGCCTCGTTGTAGTCAAATTAGATGTACTAGTTTGTAAAAGTTAAACTTTATCCCACTGCAACTATTAATGTGGTTAACCAGATTGTCATTTGTGAAGGAGAATCTAACTTTTCATACCTATAATTTGCATTTCATGAAATTACAACTTGCGAGTGAAAGTTTCTGAACGCTTCTATTACTTCATGGGTTATTAAAGATTTTTTAATCGTTAATTAGTTCGTTATAATTATTACGAACGGACAGTATCGAGGGTGCAGTAATCAAAGAAAAAAGTCCACCGTGGAAAAGAAACTAATACTTCTTGACCTTATTAGTAGATTCATCCTGCGTTTCATTAATTTAACTTTGTGCTGCTCGGAATTTTTCCGCCCCTCCAAGAGAGAGCTGTCCAGAAAAACTTTTTCTCACCCCTCTGTAGCCACCTCGTAAAAGTACTGTGTTCGTTTTGGGTTCTCTATACATCAGTTTACAGCTCACGCAACGTTACGATATACATATATTCGATCTGCATACGAAATAAATCATTCTTGTACCTCCGCGGGATACTTGTCGACGCCGTGCGGTCTCTGTACGGTCAGCACAAAAGGTGTGTTCGCACGCTTCAGTATCTCATGGAAGGTCAGAGTAACCCCGCGCGGCCGTGTAAAAACGAAGTACGTCGATATCTCTCGCCCCAATCGGTTTAGATGGTGTCCGAAAATCCTCATGAATCCGACCCCAAGCTGCACGAGCTCCAATTGTCGGTCGACGACGAAGTGCCATGGAAACGCTTTGCAGAAGCCTGCGACCCCCAAATGAAGGTCCGTGGCCTCGGTCGAGAGTGGACGGAAAGGAGACGTGACCGTGTCGAGGTTATTGTCGATCTCCGAATGGACGACCAAATGCTCGCTGTACCGCTCTGGAGTGATACGATACCTGCGAAACAGTTCATCGAATATCATTACGCTTGCACTGATACACATAGCATTTAATACTCTGACTGACTGAGGGTAGTTTATAGGTTCCTATAACTGGAATAACAGCAGGTACTCTTCGAATACACCTTCATTATTTAATAAACCTCCATACTCGTTTGGGTATTTGTCTTAACACTCTGCCGGCCGCTGTCACGCTGGCGTGACTTTTGCTCGCCAACGTTTATCGGCCGGGGTCACGTACGCGTATTATTCGCCGGCGGCAGCGTAAAGACGATGCGAGAAATAAGCGGCCGGCAAAGTGTTAATAAGAGCTTCGATGCATCTGCAATATGTCGTATAAGATCCTCTTCCGGGAAACTTTTAATTGACCTGTACTGATCAAAATGGACCAATTAGGAAAGTTCGCGTAGGCAAATGGAGAGGTTTTAACGAGTTCCTTTTCTCCAGTAATGTGTAATGAAACGCCTGGAACCTGTGTGCAGTGTGTTCGATGCAAATGCCTGCGAACATCGCGGATCAATATTTGTTCGGCCTGTAGCCTCACAGTTCTCGGAAACAGTTCTCCGTGTAAATTGAATTCTTCTCTTTTTCGGAAAATTCAGCGAGCACGTATCGAACCCCGCGAACAAATACTAAATATTGTTCTTTCTTCCTGTTCGGTTTTTTTTTTCATTGTGCAATCTAATATACGATGTATTCGGCCGTGGATTGATTTTAAACGCGTGTTCTAACCTCTGTGAAATATTAAACCGGATCAGACTTCGTTTCGTTTATATCCGCTTAGATAGAATTGCGCGTATATACAAAAAGGTGTATCATTAAGGGAGGATTATTAAAAGCGCATACTGCATACGGGACAATACCAAACGAATTATTTTCTGAAATTGAATCCGCTGTTGCGAAGACGAATACGATTGCGATACAATAGAATCATTATCGTTAGCGAAAGTATAATGTATACAGCAATGGAGGACAAACTGCGGTTCCCAAAGCTATTGCAGCTCTTGGAATAGTTTTAACATCTTAGTAACCAGATTTGTATTATTTATAAATACAATTTTAAAATAATGTTTTCTCTGGCTCCTGAACATTCAAAAATGATATACAGTTTTGAAATTATATTCAGAATGATGGAGGAGGAATCTACTTAGGTCTTACCTAAAAAATTTTGTGTTGTACGGATCCGGCAGAATGTACACGTTCGCATTGTCGTTATAAAATTGTCTGGCGATGCCCTTCAAGCTGCCAACCAGCAAATAGGCGACAGACGGATGGTCGGTTGTGAAATGGAGTTCTATCGCTTCCGGGGTGGCGATGCATACGAACTCTGCCTCCGCTTCTGATCCGGACTGGTGTTGTACAACGTCGTTTACGCCGTCGAGAGTGGTCAGGAAGGCTGTCAGATCGTTCCCGAGGCAACGGAATGCTCGCTCGAGGAGACCCACGCAAGCGGTGTAGATCAGTTCCTGGCCGAGGTGATCGAAAAACTTGCTCATGTCGATTTCTGAAATCGTTTCGCCAAATTACCTTTCAGCGGTGTGGTTTCTATCGAATTGCACACCCATCCTCCCCCCCCCCTACCTTGAACCGGGTGCATGCACTTAGAGGAATTAAATGGTTCTTTCAATGTAAAAGGTAGGAGCACGATTAAGGATCAACGCTTCGTCTTTGAAATCAAATTAATTTAACGAGTCTTTTACTCGAATTGCTTCTCGTTCAAACATTCAACGTTGAATATTTTAATGTATGAAGGTGTTAAAATTGGAGGCTTCAGATTTTAATAGCAAAGTATATTCTTGGGATTAGTTGGAATATTTTATTTTAATTGTTTTTTCATCCGAATGATATGGTGTGACAGCTCTCACATTTTTATGAGCACCGAGAGGTGCCCATATTTTACTTTAGGTGCACGTACCAAGCATACGATGCAACTTTTCGGTATCGTATACAGAAGTTTGCCTCTAGAGGACCCCGGCAAATTAACTTCAAAAATTTGTCCCCTACAGAGTCCTCCGAAACATACTGTATCGTTTCGGAAATTATTACTACGCGAACATTTTCGTATATGCTTCTTATATAATAGTCACTGCCCTATTACAATCGGTCTATAAAGTTTCCATCGTAGTTCGTTGACTACCACTTGAGAATTACAGCCCAATGATTACCTCTCATTTACGAACCAAGAAAAACATCTTTTGGAATACGACGAGAATTCACGAGAATTTTTACAACTTTCAGACCACCTAAGCGATATTCCTCTTCCTCGCTGGAAATTGCTTTACGAGCGAACACATTCGGTATGACTTACAAGGCAAAGTTTCCTTGATATCAGTTTTCCCGAGGACTTTTTCCGTTTACAACCCGATTGATCGAGTCCCGGGTGCACTCGTATCGATAAAAAAACACACAGAAAAACACATTGGAACATTCGAAAAGCTTTCGAAATCTCGTAACCGAACACGATTCCTTTTATAACTTCGTCGGCCGAGAGTTTAATATCTATCAGTCAGCAGGTCCACGGCAATTATTTTTCGACAGAAGGAAAACGAATGAAAAGGAGAACCGTGGCTCTAATACGTTTCCAGTCTCCAGTCCGACCGAGACCCGTTCGTTGCAGCACTCTGAATGGAACCGTAATTCTGCTGACAAGCGAATCGTCGACGATTTTCCCGGCTTTGGCCATCCTCCAAATTAAAAAAAAAGGAAAAAAGCGAGAAAAAAACGAACAGAACACAAATGCAAATTTCGACCGTTACAGGGGAGTTTCTAATCCCCTAGCATTTCCGAGCCCGTTTAAACCTCGAAAATACGGGGCTCAGAACTTCGATTTTCCATCAACGATTATACAATAACTGGCCCGCTTACGAGATTCCCTGTGCTCGATGTTACTCGGTTGGTTCTTGTCCCGTTTAACCGGCCTGGGAGTTCAACGGCGAAATCAGCGCTGCGCATACACCGCCTAAAACGTTTCCCTCCCGGAAATGGGAACCAAAAGTTTACGTGCACAAGCCACGGAGGCGGTCGATAAACGGCCGATAGATTTCGAATCGTGATAAACCGGCGGTTAAGCTCCCTTGCAAATCCGGAAATCGACGCTGCCACCGGGCTACCGGCTTGTTCTAATGCCCCCGCGCATTATTCCCCATCGAGTGTCAGTGTCAGGTGGCGATAATCAATAGGCGGTTCGCAGTCGCCTATATAATACCGTCGGCCAATCGTCTGGAACATCGCGTGATGATTCTGTGACGGGCCGCCAAATCATCCGGTAAACCTTAAACAAATCGATGACTCTTTGGCGGTATACTCTCGTTCGTCGCGCCCTATCGTCGACTCGCGTGGAAGTACACGCTTGGGTAACGAGCCGCGGATCGAAGAAGCTAACACGATGATACATATGTATTTTGTTCGTAGCGAAGGTGGAAGATTATGACCTGTGACTTTTCACAGACTGAAGAATCTTGTTTTTTTTTTATATTTTCATTGCGTGTAATTGCAACTCTGTGCAGTTGCTTTTCGTATGCAACTGTGTCGCGATCATTGTCACGCTAGGTAAACTTCTAGAAAGTGACCACCGTTATCTGTTTCGAGGTCAGTCGACTGTGAATACTTCAGTGTACGTCGGATTATGCTCACTCCGTTCCACAAATCGGTGGGCACAATCGTCTCTGCTGATAAACATACGATGTGGTGATACGGAATCGGTTTAAAAGGAACAGTAACTCATTACTGTTTCAGAGATATCTCTTGGAAATAAATATTTTTCTTGAAATCGAAACTGTACGTCTGCCTTTGAAATATTGTACATTCTGTACTTGATGTATCAGTGCTCAGTAAACTGAAGAAGAATATTACATTCACCTGAAATAGGGGAATATACGGGAAGAGGCGTAAAACAGTAGAAGCTGTGTTCTGTTCGAGAAATAAAACGTAAACCCGCGAGGGTTCTTCATGTTTTGAAGTGTACTTGACGCGAGTGGTGGGAGATGACACGTCAGGGAGAGCTGTCAGCTTGCAGCCATCAACATTTACAGAAGTGATACGAACGCGGTGCAAATTGGAAACGCGGATCGACCCTCCAGAAACTTCCAACCGAGTCGCAACTCGATAAAGAGTGCACATACACACACTGTGTGTCTTCTGGCCGTCTGTGGACGAGAAAAGAGGGTGCACGATTTTATCTATGACGATTATTCGCGTGAGGATTCCAATAGAGCTCTGTGCATCCGCTCGAAGAGACCATTGCTATGCACGACTGACTGAATTGGGACAATGCGCCGAGAGGGAACACTTTGGGGATCGATGTACCGTGCTTCTACCTCGTTACATACGTAGATGCACATCTACGTGGAGACGATTTAAACCGTTCGACGAAACGATAATTAATCAACCCTTTCACGCAGTCACACTTCCATGGCGAAACTAAATATTTCCATTTCGGCTCAGGAACTTTCATCCGCGTCAAATGTTCCTTAACCGTTGCGTCAACCTGATCTTTGCTTTGAAAACATAATCTTCCGAATCTCATCCTGTCTTATCGTCTTCGGTCGGAAAGCTCCTTAAAGCTCAAGTAACTCGCGCGAATGAGATATTCAGTCCCTAACAACGTTGTCTACTAGAAACTGGTGCTAGATAATACGTTAAAATTTCACGGGAATGTTTGAAGATTATTATTCTTCCTCTGGTCTTCATTTAATATACAGGACCAAAGGAACATGTGCATCATTTTTCGGTTATTGATTTTGTCACAATAAAATGACGAGGGAACGTCATGTATAGGTTTATTTAATGAGGATTTATTTTTCTTTCAACAAATTGCAGAGTATAACTCGAAATGTCGACAGAAATCTAACTTGGCCTGCATTCTTAACTTACTAGGTTGAGATCCTTTATGGTAGCAGGAGGAAAATATGAAGAGAAATTTTGTAAGAATCTGGCGAAATGTAGCTGCTTTATGACCGAACGAAAGTTAAAAGGACAACGCTCCGGGAGTAATAATAACCAGGTGTCCACGGTTCAACGCTAAATGACCATAAGAACGGTCGAAGGCCGTTTGTCAAGCAATTTCCACGACAATTCCTTTTAGTCGCGATACGGTGGTCAGTTGCTCACGAACGATCCCGTGCTTTCCACGTCCGTGAGCAATCGCTCGAAACAGAGTGCGTACGCCTTCCGAATACCCAGTCGACTTCTCTCCTACGTTCATCTTTATTTTCGCTCTCTCAGTGTATTACCAGTGTTTGCGATATTGCGTTTTCGTGTCTCTTTCTCGCCGCGTACGTTTTCGCCCGAAATTTGTGAAAAGACGGGATTACTCCGAAGGAGGTCGCGCCCTGGAAGATTCCACGTGTGTACCGAAGCCAGGGGCCGCCACTTTGAATATCTTTCGTAGGCGAAACGTAAAGTTTTAATACCATTTTGCAACTTCTTTAATCAATCTCTCACCTTTTCTTTATCACAGTAACGTATCAAAGTAAATCTTCTCGAAGTGTTCTTTGCATTTTTAAAGCCTTGAAATTCAATAATATAAGATGTTATCGAAGATTGCGCGAGGGTTGCTGTGCAATTCAAGGCAGGATCACAAAAAGGTCGGAATAATTTAAAACTCCATCGGAAGATTTGTGTCCCGATGGACAGGGATATTCTACTCCGATAAATTTCATTCCTCTGAACGGTACACACTGTATTGGATGTATCGGGATTGTGTGCAGCGTTTCCGCGAGTCAATAGTAGGAAAAGGTCTAATACGGGCGCGCCTTTTCGAAGCGGAGTAACTCAAGGCACTCTCCGCGGCTCCATCAGGATCGCACGAGAAATCCTTTTTGCGCTTCGCCGACTCGGAAGAACGATCTCGTGCCGCTCTCCTTGCAACTATTCCTCACGCGAACCCCTGCCATGTTTTTTCTTCTTGTCGTTATCTGTAATGTTCGATGATCACGCCACGGAAGACTAGGCGTAACAGCCCTTCTTTTGTGCCTTTTATATTCGCCAACGGAAACTTTCAACGGGTCCGTACAGTAAGTTCCTAAGAAGTACAATCCGAAATCAAAACTGACGGTCGCTTTGTCTCCGATGGTTCTACATTGTAACGTTCATTTTTCGCATCGTGAATCCATTCTATTTCACATCCTTTGTATTCTAGTCTCTGTATATTGAAAATGTAATAACATTCACATTGAGTAATAACCAAACAAAGTATAGGGTATACGAAACATAAAACAGGAATTTGACTTTACAGAGATATCCTTTTTATAACAACAGACTCATGATTATTATCACAATAATTAAAAGACACAGACACTCTTCTGGAAACGGAAATCTATATTTAGTACACCTACATCGTGTTTTTAGCTTAATTTTTAACTATCCCGAGAACTAGCTCCACGAACCTCAAAGCTTATATAATAATGATGCATTCAAAGGTGTAACATCATTAGCGCCCTAAGTGAATATTTCGCGGTGGTTCCTACTAATTGCCAGAGCGCACAAACGTCGCTGGTACGCTGC